TTTTTTACTTTTTAAGAGTCTTATTTTTTATATTTAATCATCATTTATTCTTTCTTTGATATTCTTAATAAATAGTCTGTATGGAAATACGGAAAAGACATGAATTTATTGAGGTAATTGCTTTACAAGCTATAAAGAAAAAAATGCTGAAAAATTTGCACATCATGCGTCTCATCAATCTTATCAAGATCGGTATCACTGCATCGTAAACTTATGAAAAGAAAATTTTATGTTTCATCTTTTTCTTGTTGTGAATAAAGGGATGCGACGAAAGTTATCTAACATCTGTTTTTTTCTTTTTCAAATATAGCAGTAGGAAAATTAATAACTTTAAACTTTGTGTTACAAGATACAACACTTGATTTACGTATGATATCCTAAGTCAGAATTAGATGTCAAGGTCCTTTCAACCTATCTTTATGCTATTTTTGTAATTGAGCTGTCTTTGATAATAATTAGAATACTGTACTAATGCTGAAAATAAACGTTCGATAACTTTGAAAATTTAATTTTCATCACGTTCTCTTGGTACATAAACATCTATAATCATTTGGCAATCTATGAATATCTTGTTTTGTTTCTCTTCTATAGGATACTCTCCATCGTTTAGTTCAAACATCTCTAGAAAGAAGAGATAAAGATATCCCATTAGTTGGAAAATTGTTAGTTTTGTGCGTAGATATATGATTCCTTGTTTGTTCACGCTAGGTTATCTTATTAGTCGCATAAATATCCTTACCGATGTTGATAAGCTCATTGAATTTTTATTATAAATCTTCATAACTACAATCAAATTTACGATGTCTTATATGAATGTCATGCATAGACTTGGTTTCAACGAGGACAGTGAATGCATGATGATGATATACCAAGGTTGCCAGTCAATGAAATTTACTCTTTAACGTGATAAGATCTTCAAATCTGAGCCTTCGTTTTCAAGTAGTTCTATGCTAGTTTGTAGAATTTGATGAGATGATCATAATGACATTAAGAGTTCTACATCACAGACTATCATTAAAGAGTTATGTTAATCTCAACTTCACAAAAAAATGACTGTAAGCTGTTATTTGGGAAATTTTTAATGTCAGAATAGTTTAACATAAAAAATACAGCAGAAGAAACTAATAGTTATATGTTTAGTCAAGCTATGTAGTCTTTGTATTCTGAACTATTTATGAGTTGTTTCAAAATTAAATTTTACGTCTCAAAGAATGTGCAATTAAATATTTTGACGAATATGGTCTACTAAAAGTGTACACAGAATATTAGAGAGAAAAGTATGAGGTGAACTATTTTCAACATTTAAACAACAAAAAACTAGATTGAAGGAAAAATGAAACAGAAAATAATTTGTAATTATCGTCAAATATTTCTAAGAGATTTGTGGAATTGATAAAAAGAGCAGTGGGCAACAAAAAATAATGATAGGTAAATAAAATTTTTGCATCAACATGTCACATGGCTGTATTGAATTACAGCGAGATCTTTATGCAATATTACATTCAAAACTATTACCGACCAATGAACTAACTCATAACAGAATAAGGATTGATAGTGTACGTGTTATATAGTGACCAAATGATATGAAATTGATGATAATCAAACCTATTTCTAGTACTAGTGATTCATATTGAAATTACATAACTGTATCCAATCAATCAATGTTATAAATATCAGAATTATGACACTACACTATATTTTATTGTATAAATGAGGACAATTTTAACTAAAAATTAAAATAAATTCTAATAAATAGGATCAGCCTTAAAAAAACCTTTGAAAAGTAATCTGACAAGAACATTAGATTTCAATTTTGATCAAAGGTTGATTTTAGTCATGTCAATCAGATGAATATTTATTAATGCATGAAAATATATTGATGAAGTCAATATCATTCACAATAAAATTTTTTACACAAAGATTGTATCAAGATTGAATTAGTTTTGATAGGAACGACGAAAAGAGCTGAAGCTTTCACCATTCAACAGAGAACGCATATAGTCATTGCAGTAAGTCAAAATTTTATTGATCAACAATTGATGAACAATCAGGTGAGTTTTTAGTGAAGACTTTGAAAACAAGATTCTGAAGTTATTTCTCACTAGATTTCTGCCGTATAATAAAGCCAATCGTTTGTTTTTGGTTTTGAAGCAATCTAAGACCACTATTCGAAGATTTTCAAAAACTTTGATTTTTATGTTCTATCAAGAGAATTTTTGTTATTACAAAAATACTGAAATCATAGTCCCAGATGGCTTTAAAGTTGAAAACAAGCATCAACATTTGACTCAGAGCTGTAGATAAGTCTTGTCAGGTGCTCTTTTGGAGCCTTCGAAGGTCAATTTAGCTGACAACTGTGAAAGTTTTCTCTTGAATGGTGAAAACCGCAGTTTTCTTCGTCGTTCCTATCAAGATTTATTCAAAAAACAGTCACCGACGTTCTTTTTCGAAATCATAGCCTTAACAAAGAGAACAAAGTTCTATTTAAGCTACTATAATTAGACCAAAGAATTCATTATATTAAATGTAATATTCATTTTCACTTGAAAATCTCTTTTAACATACAATACACATATGTCCGATTTTATATTTCAAGGAGTGTTTATAACTTTATTCTATATTGTTTCACTTCGAAATACTATCAGTAATTCTGCACCTTTAACAACCTTCATTTTTCTACTGATAACTTCACATAATCAAACATTAGCGTCATCTTGTATAAACTTTACGATGGGTTCATTGATTCACCTATGTGTTATATTCGACGCGAAAGATAACAATTTCATCCATCTTTTTATCTTTCTTCTTTTTTCATTTCATATTGAATATTTTAAATGTCGGAATATATTAACAATTGTTTTTGTTGTGGATATTATCTTGTACCACGATATAAAAGATTAGTCAATAATATATTTCCACAAAATCCAGAAGTAAATCAAAAATTTATAATGTCTCATTATTCATATTTCTAGTTTTGTTCGAATATATTCATATAGCATGGTCTTGACAGAAATAATCTTGAACGATTACGTTTTTATGCACTTGTTAAACCAGAAAAACTTGACAAGTCATTTCGATATATGTCTCAAAGAATAGCCCGTTATTTACGTCATCGAAATAAACCGTATGTATTTGTTTTTTTGTTTAATTAAAGATAGAAAATAATTTAATTGTATATTTAGATATGTTATACTTGGTATTAAAGCAATGGATGATACAATGAAATCATGTTATCAACAATTGAATACATTTGTTGATCATTATTTAGAAACATTACGTCTTGTACTTAATGAAGGAAATGATTTAGAATTAATCGAACATGCTGTTGCTTCGGTATGATGATTTTTGTACGATGAAAAATTAATACATTTTTTTCATTTCTTTAAAGTTTGAATCATTTTGTGAAATACGTGAAGAAGCACCGAACTATCAACGAAATTATCAATTTTTTGTTAGTCGTTTTACACAACTTTGTTATAATAATGATGAAGTTAATAGAAACAAGTATGTAGAAAAGTTTAAAAATAAAAATGTTAAATCATGAAATAAAATTCTAAATTCTACATAAACCTATACTCCAAACTCTTATCTAGATACAGATCTAGACTGAAGGCGCTCCCTCATGAATTAAGAATATTTTATTTGTTGTTTTTTATTTCACAAGCTACTACTGCTTTTTCTTCTAGCACTAGAAATAGTCCTAAATATCTACTTAAATATCATTAAAGCCCATGACACATAGTCAAAATTTTAGTAATTAACACAACTTGAAATAGCGAACAAAATGTTTACTAAAATTTTCAAGTGAATTGGACAAAATCATCATACAGTTATTGTAAAGTGATTTCTTACGAAATTCGGACTAGAGATAATTACGGAATGGGCCATTTGAATGAGGGATTCAAAGAAAATATTCGTGATACATGTGTGAGATACGGTGATGTCTGAGTCATAACTCTAGTACATATGAATCGATAGAGAGCAGGTTAGTGTTTGCGATTAGAGCTTCTTGTTGCACATATGCATTCAAAATATTAACTTATTATCACAGGACTGTATGTTCATTAGTTATTTTCAAAGGAAAAATACTCATGTCGTTCGACTATTCTGTTATATATCATGCTGGCCACCCACTCGACCTCTTTTTCCTGTTTTGATTTTAAACTCCTCTTTGTATCCTCTTTTCTAGAAATTCACCTCTATTTCTTCTTTTTTACCAAAAAATAAAGTGTACAGAAAAAAACTTAGCATAGATATATTTTTTCAGCAATAATAGGTTCATGTAGGATAGTGACACTGATTTTTTTTTCTTGTTTTTCTGTTTTACATCGAGAGAACGCTAGACGTATCAAAATACTATATGCAACTATGTTAGATAGAAAAGAACTAAAACGGAACTAAGTTGCAACAAAAAAAGGCACATGTAGTTAAAGATGATCAAGAGTAATAGATTGAACTTCAATCGACTTTTACGACATTGAATGCGGCTAGTAAAGATAAAAACAACTTTGATAGATTGTTTGACATCCCTAATTCATATACAATATAGTGTAACATAACGGGTGTTCCAAAAGTTCACGGAAGATGGCAGATTCTGTTGTATTTGAATTGAAGATGAGAGGAAGCTAATTCTTTTTTTGTTAGATAGAGCGTGGTTACTATTCTGAAAAGACATGTTTCGAAAACTTCTATTCATACATTAGTAGACAAATCAATTCGGTTTTTCTAAAACTACTAATAAGTGTACTGTAAATTTGTACAATTTTGCTATTGACGTCTTCGAAAAGAAATTTATTATCTTGTCTTAGATGCAACATTTTGGACTCCTGTTTTACACGTTCTATACAAAATGATATAAGCTTTTGCTACACACGCAAACCATTGAAAAACTCGATTGTTATCATTTACGGTTAGCAAGAAAAACTAATTTTCACAGGTTTGAAAATTTGTGTGTATCAATTGTTTGAAACTCTTATCAGTTGATGTATATCCATTTTCACAAGCAATTAAAGGACGATCGACCGTGTCAGATCGAGCTTTTTGCGAACTACAAGAATATATAGAAAAACCTTACTAAACTATTTGTTCTAACTTTATTATTAAATATCTGAAATTGTAAAACACAGTGTTACAGAAAGTTTCGCAATTTATGCCGACATAATTTTAAGTAAGTGAATCTCGATAGAAAAAGATTTACTGAAACAGAAATTTTTCTCTAGGTGATCTATGAGTAGTCACACAGCAGAGAAGTTATTTTAGCTCACAAGCACATGTCTTTGTTTTACATATACAATGGATTTACTGTTTAAAAAATGTTTACATCTTACTTTTTAGGAGATCTATAAAAACCGAATAAATCTTGCTACTAGTGTATGACTAGAAGTCTGTGAAACATGCTTTGAAAGTAGAAACCAAGCTCTATGTAAAAAACAGAATTAGCTTTCTATCATTTTCTGTTCGAATAAAAAAGAGTCTGACATTTTTCCAGGAACTTTTGTTACACTCGTTATATTTAAACGACTACCAAACAGAGATTAATAAAGGATCAGTTTCGCCATGTTGGAGTTTTCGCTTCACTTTGAATGTTTTTTATGATACTAATGGTTGAAAAAAGAGTCTCCTAATTTTCCTCTTTTTTATTCAAAACCCTCTTTATTACTCTTTTTTAATGGATCCTCGGTGGGAAACCAGTGTATCATGGTGTCACTTTAGATGCTTCTAATGTAATTTACTTTCTTTTGTATTATATTTCACTTTGAAATCTTATTAGAAATTCGACTGTAATGTAATTATTCTAGAGACGTATTGTAGATAGATAAGAAATTCTAAAAATACTTGTTAAATGACACGGCTGTCGTGTGCGATTTCTCATGAACATATGCAAGTAAAAAAGTATCTGTCAAAAAATCAAATTATAAAAAGAAATGCGATCATTTGCATGAAGACTTATTTTCATTCGTCTCATGAAAATTTACTTTGGAATACATTATTTATATGTATATATATTCTATTAGACTTCGATGTCTTGGTCTTCGTGGACATCATGCACTTTTTCGAAAAACAGCCAATGATGAATTGCAAAATGATGCTTGGAAACATATGGATCAAATAGTACCATCTATTATATTTAATATTGAAAAAAGAGAACAACCTCGAACACAACAATCAGCGTATTTCATATTTTTATTAACAAGAGAAATTATTTTTGTTTATTGTATAGAACAACAATAACAACAACAACAACAGTATCACCTGAAGATGTTGTTATAATCAATGAAACAATTATTCAAGAGGATCCATCTTTATTAGCTGATATGATCTTACGAGATTTATTTTGTCGTGCTCATAGCAATAATAATATATCTATATGTATTCAACCAATTCTTAAGTATAAAGAAAAAAACAGAAATCTTTTTTTTTCTCATTTATTTATTTTTTAGTGATTTAGATAAGTATGCGAAGTGGATTCCATATGATTTTCCTAAATATATATTTTCTCAGATAATGAATTCAATTAAAGTATTTCATTTAATCAACTTGAAAAAATTATTATTATTTTGTTTTTAAATTTTACTTAGCATCATAATAGTTATGTCGTTATTGATTTATTGCTTAATCATCTTGACAAACATCTCGATATACGAGAACGAACAAATATAAAAACTTCAGTTATGAATGTTATTCATGATTGTTTGGTTTTTACTGCACCAAATACAGGAGTAGGTAAATAATCATCATAAAGAATTCTTTTATTTCAAATATGCATAAATATTTTTTAATTTCCTAGGATCAACAATGTTAGATGGAATAACACGTCTTCTAGAGTTTATACAGAAATCTTTTCAAAACGAAATGCAACGTTCTAGAACATCATCAAAAGATCAAAATGAACAACAGTTTCAATCTGCAGTTATTAATGGAATTGGTAAGACATGAAAGTCACTAAATAGATAGAGTAACCGATGACTAACCACAGTTCTTTTCCATGAACTTTTTCTATACTATCGTGGCTTTTATTTTCCATTTAGCAACCTTTTCTTTAGCTAAATTTGGATTTTATTCTCAAAAAATATTAGAACTCAACAAAAAAAAACGAGTTATTTTTATTGTTGAGACGCTCTGTTATTTATTCATGCAATAGAACATTTGTAGTTAAGTATCTTAGAAAACTGCTAGCAATTTTTTCAGAACTTTTGGTTACTTCTATGTACTAATTGTCAAGCATAACGATTATAGGATTTCTCTTTGTGAATCGAACTATGTTTCTAAATTAAAGTTACTTGTCCTTAATGCTACTCCAGACGGAAACGGTCAGTTCACTTTGTCAAAGAATTCTCAAGTGCATGTCCATGTTTGACGAAAGTTTCGGATTAAATTTCGTTGACTAAGTATCGTCGGTCGTATTAAATCTGTCTTAACAGACTGAGACCAACATCATTTCTCGACTTTCTCGAAACTATTTTGGTTATTTAAAAAACTCGCCTAGTTCAAAATTATAAAAATAAATGAGACACAAGAAATAATTCTAGGTTTTCTATTGCGGAAAAAGATTTATTATTGTTCAAGTTTTTCCTAATAACCAAGATCTTCATTTCTATAATTTGTTATATACATGATTAATGTGATATTTATTTTAAACAGAAGATTTTGCGGAAAAATTACCTGATTTTCAAATGATGGAAATAATAAAATGTATTGCAGCATCATTACCAACATTTCACCAAGATGCTGAAGAGAAAACAAAATATTCAAGGTTTATTATTATTATTATTATTATTATTGATATACTTCTAAAAAAATAATCGAATCTTTTTCTAGTGATGCAAAATTAAAATTTCAATTACTTCTTCTTAAAACAATACAGAAAGTATGGTCATATTTCTCTTCCTTTTCTTTTTCATATTTTAAAAATTAGATTATACTTAATAAACATTCTCTACAATCTACTTTGACAAAATCATCTAAGGTTTGATATGTTTGCTTATTGTTATTATCATTTTGAAAAAAATCAATTTACTCTATATGAAAATTAATACTATGTTTTGTTTTTCTTTATGTCTAATCAATATTAATTTAGGTTACGACAAAATATGAATCAGAACAATCAAATGAAATAACATCAACACTAACAACATTTCCTCATCAATTATTTGATCCATTAATAAAAATGATGAGTACACCTGAATCAGAAGTACGTTTAATTGTATTCGAAATTCTTCAAGTACTTGTTGATCGACGATGTTATGCTGATAAATTATGTAAAATTAGGTTATTATTATTATTTCTAATTTTTCCAAGAAACACAAAATAATATCATTTATTTTAGAATACTTAAAGATATTTCTGAACTTGATTTACCTACTGAAAGAAAAAGAAGTCGTCTCTTTGATATTGCATTTATGAAAAAAGTATATGATTATTATTGTTATTTACTTTTTTTTAAATGTTCTTTTAGTTTGGTCATCAATTCCATTCTCAACTTTATAAATGTATATTAATAGAAAATAATACAAAAAAAAGTTTTTATGCTATTTATTGTCTTATGAGTCTTGTTACACTTGAAGCTAATGATCAAGATGTTCTTGTTGATGTTATTCATTTTTGTCTTGAAGTTCAAGTAAGTTTAATAAAAAGAAAAAAAACTAAGAACAAAAGTATTTCAATTTTTTTCTTTCAATATATTCTAGTCAGCAATAATAAAAATGATGAATGAAGATCAACAAAAATTATCGAAAAATAATTATCATTGTATACATGCATTAATTGCAGCTTATTTTAATTTAATGTCAAAATTTTATGACATAACTGCTTTGTCTCGTTATGTTGATGAAGTAAGTTTATGGTAATAAATAATTAATTCATTTTTTAAATAATAAATAGAATAATTTTTCGCATGAATTAACTTACAAGAGTTAGAAATTTTCAAAAGTTCTCAATGAAGCAAAACCTTTTGTTTGTGACATGACTTTGCTAAATTACAAGATAAGTATCTCGAGATTATGAATTTTTCTATAGCTAAGTTAATATGTTAAGATTTTTGTTGAACGGATTTATCAGTAAAAACAATAGCATTAGCAGCGTAACGTAGTACGAAACAAAAAGCTCTAATAATTGAATGAGTAGTTACAAATCAATTCTAAAAATGATAAATCTTTTTTTCAGAATCTGTAAATAATAGTAAGACGAAAGTTAATGTTTCGTGACTTGCTAGGATCTCTAGAAAATCAGTTTTTTAGAAGTTTTGTCTTGCTGAAAATTTTCTTTATCGATGCGAATGATGTCTGACAGTCCATCCTGAAGTTTTCCAATTTTTTTTTTCTCATATACTTAGAGAGACATTCGTCAATTACTTTTTATTTAATAGTCAGCTGAAACAGCGAGCATTTTTATATATATCTGTGCTAGAAAAACTCATTCAATCAAAGTTAAATGGCAGATGAGTACGTTCCTGAATGACCCATGCATGAGTTGAAAAAAATAGTAATAGTTCCATAGAATTTTATTACACATAGATAAACATGTAATTTAAAACGGATAAAAACCGTTAGTAGACCGTTCGGTATAATATATACTATACTCGTGTAGATACAATAATGATTAAAATTGATTGTACACGTGATACAAAAAAATTGACATAAATATCACTTGATAATTACAAACTATTTTGAACTATGTTTCATTTTCGAAATTTTAATATGAATAGTTTTTTTTATTATGAAACGTTTGTATGAATTGTACGATTAATTTTGTGTTTAGACCAACGACCTCATTTTTTTTTGTTGTTTTCAGAAACATGATCTCAAAGGAATGTTGAAGTATACGAACAAAAAAATCAGCAACACTTCTCTTGGTCACAATCTATGAAAGAAAATTTTGATTCTAATTTTATTTATACATATATATATATATATATTAGTGAATAATTTGATGCTTTGTTGCTGTAATCAACTTGTTCACACGAAATAAAATTAACTTATAATACATACGCTTAACATATACATGTTTTAACTGATTATTGATTTTAAAAACTGTTCATATTCTTCTTCTTTCTTCTTTCTTACATATAGTAGTGATACAGCAATGAACCATTAGTCTAAACTATTACTGTCATCGTCATATTTGGTATCACTATTATATTTAATGAAGAAAGAAAAAGACGAAAAAAACTAACTTATATTTTTATTCTATGTAAGATATATAGTTCGTTTAAAAATGTATATTTTAGTATATATGTTTTGTAAATTTATTTTATTTCCTGTAAAAAAGTTGCTTACAGCAACAAAATATCACATTACTGAATAAGATATAATTAGAATCTAGTAAATGATTAAGTAAACACCAAAGGCAACGAATAAAAACATTCACGAACTCGTTAGTTTTCTTTATAAGAAAACCATTGTAAGCATGAATATATGCTAACGAAGGAACCACCCCAGCTGACAACTGCTGTTTGAGATAAAAATCGTGTTCACTTGAAAATTCAATAATCTGACCAAGGAACACATTTCTCAGCTGAAATTTTCAAAACATTCTCACAGGTAATATACGTATCTATTGGCAACACATTGAATCGAAACTCCGTTAATCAATTTTTTAGGAAAATATCTAAAAATATTTCGGATATTTAGTAAACCGTTCTCATAATTGTACGCCAAAAAGCCATAGTGAAGAACCCTTCATTCATGCATTTGTTTGATATGTTCTATCAATCAGGGTTACTATGACCTAATGAAACGTATATATTCTATTTAGTCAGATATATTTGTAAGACATATAGAAACACACTTATATGTCAACATATATTCTATTACAATTTCTTAATACAATTAGATATTTTCCACGTTGTCAAGCTGTCATCTGTTTCGTCTTATGAATTTACATATTGATGTAGTCATTAATATGGATGTTATTACTTGTCTCTTTAATCATAACAACATATCATAAGTAATAAATTGTAATAGACATTACTAAACCCATCATTATATATTTATAGAAGTGAGAAGTTTTATAAATAGTTGTTCCCAGACATAGTACAAAGTGATAACAGTGAAAGCAAGGAAAACTTGCTCATTCAACTTATTATTATTTTTTACTTAGGTTATTCGTAATCGTGAACTTCGTGCACCATATCTTCTACCACCAAATGCATTTCATTCTATTCCTAAAGAAAATCTATCAAAACGTATTCCAAAAGAATGTCTATTTACTCAAGAAATAGTTATTAATGCATTAAAAATATCTAATTATGATATATCAAGATTTAATCATGTCATTCATCTGGAAACAGGTTTGTTATTTGTTTCTTTTTTTTTTTTTTATTAATTATTATGAGTATTTAAATTAGTATTGTCATCATTTAATGTAACAACACGTGATTTACGTCGTAAAATAGTTGGTAGCATACGAAATGTTTTACATTGTATTGTTGCTAATATATGATATCTATATTTTTCATTCGTTGATACATAACACAAAGGTTTAAGTATATGACATAAAAGATAAATATCTTTAAATTGATATGACCATTGTATATATGATAATTCATCAATCCAATATGGGATATGAAAAAATAAATAAATAAATAGAATAAGATATGTTGATCGAATTAATGTTTGACTATTTTCAATAATAGTTAAATACGTTAAATAGTCAAATGCTTTTAATGAACGTTGTGTTGGTGGTGTTCCATCAGTAGCAATCGATGTTTTCGTTGATGGATAATGTGTTGGAGGAGATTGAATTGAATGACGATTGATGTTTTCATTACTATTCTAGAAATGAGAAAAAAAAAATTTTAATTAATGAATAATTAAGTTGGAAGAGTATTGGCAATAATGATCATTATAAAAGAACTAAAAAGGAAAATAATTTCTTTTTTTTTAATAAAAGAGTTGTATTGCCAAAGTGAAGACTGAAGGAAATGAATTGTTACAATATAGTCTTTGATAGAGTACTACTACAACCCTAGAGCTATACATGTGAAAATTGTAGTTTGCCACTATTCTATTTCCGCCATTTAGAAAGAATTAATAATGGCAATAGTTCTATTAATTTTAACAATTAATAAAACGTTTTCTTTTCTTTTTTGATGATCATTAATCAATTTAGCTAGAAAAATTTCTTTAACAGTGAAGCTGTTTAATTCGATGGTGACTATATGAAAAAAGAATCTTACAATTTGATTCATTCTGTTGTCATTTTCTGATATATATATAGTTTATTTGAAAAAATATTAATATTCTTTAATCATAAAATGTATACTCTTCCTTTCATTATCATTTTTATCTGTGATTCCCCTAGAGATTTATGTGATTTGAAAATGATTATTGTTTTTCTTTTTATCATAGTTAAGGTTTTTTTTTTTTGTTTTTATTTGATAGAAAATACTTTTTGATTAGTTCTAACTACATTAAATTATATTCTCACTTGATCCAATAATGACATTTCTTGTTGTACAGTTCGTGTCAAAGTTGCTGCTTCCGTGATACTTTTTAAACTATTTTGTTTATATGTCTTAATTGCCCATTTCATTCTAATTAATAATATAAATTGTATAAAAATAATTACATATGTTATTAAAAAACAAATAATATTTAAAGTTTTATAAGTTGTTTTATTAATATAAATAAATGTTTGTTTACATGATGGTGGACGTTGTTCTGATTCATATTCATTTATATCAAGATGTGTTAATGTTGTTGTTAAATAGATAATAATTAATGGTGTCATTATAAATAAACATAAAAAATATAATTTCGTTGTTGCTAAATGTTTTTTACAAAAATATACTAATGATGTTACTAAAAGTAGATTAATAATAATTATTTCAATAATTGTTGTTAATTTTTCAAAAAATTTTAATATAAAACAAAAAAATGCACATGGTAAACCTTGATATATATCAATAAAACGTAATGGTATAACAAAATTACAAACAAATATATCATTTATTAAAAATGCTAATATATATTTATCAAATGTTGATATTGATGAACGTGAGGGTGGTAATAATGGTGGTCGAATCATTTGACCACTTAGTGATGAATTTGCTCGTAATAATGTCATATTTGTTGCAGGAGTTGGAATTCTATTGAATTCTTGATGATGATAAGTTTTTCGTTGAATAGCTAATATTAAAAGCCAATTGCACGTTACACCAATTAAACCTATTAGAGCTAAAAGAATCAATTGTACCATGAACATTGTTATAATTTTTATTGCTTAATATTAATCAAAATAATTTTCTTGTTCTCCACTTTGCTTCGTGCTTGGTATGCGTTCTTAATCGTCGTCGTTTTTTCTTCTAGATTTTTAGTAGAAAAATAAGAAGAAACAACAGAGAAATGTCAAAGAAAAAGAAAAAAAAATTCTTTTATTAACCGGTATTGCTGTTTAATCTCATTCGTGCATATATTTGTAGTCTGAGCGAACACGACAAAGGCACATTCATCATTTGCTATATAATAAGTTAACCTTACATTCTTTCCTTTTTTCCTCTTCATCACCCTATTATAATTGAATTGTGAATGTTCTTCTTCTTATAGATCCTGATTCTCCTGGTGGCAATGACAATAACGAATCAGAAACGGATGATTCTTTAAGTAGTAGAATAGATCTACGGGTAATATTATCTATACTTTTTCTTTTTTTTTTTTTTTTACAAAAAGACAAATTATATAAAATTTTCAAATTTCAGAATGAAAATAAAAATGAAGAGATATCCTTTGAAACAATACATAATGTACTTAATACAATGGAATCAACAAATGTACGTTATAATGAAAACAAACGTTTGATGACTAAATTTCGTGCAAAACCATTTCAAGAATTAAAACTTCTTGTTAATGAAAAAGTGAATTGTTTATTTTATTTTATTTTATTTTATTATTTATTTTTTCTAGAAGCAGCAAAGTAATAAACACATAGAAACCGTATTAAATGTTCGTCATTTATCAAAAGATAAAATACCATCGAGACCACTAAATGGTAATTCACCTTCGAATGAAAACTTAAAATTACAGATGAATAAAATCAATTATCCAGAATTATTTACTTATTAAAAGAAAAAAATATTTCGTTTGTTTTCTTTTTGCATTGAGTTTTTCTTATTTCATTAAGTCAAATAAATTTATACAAGATTAATTATGAGAAAATTTATATTTATATTCAATAATAATGTCATCAACAAATAAGAAATCTCTTTTTTGAAATATATCCTATTAATAAATGACAAACGAATATCTACTATTCATTTCTTTAATAGAAAAAAAAATGTAAATGTTAATCTAGTACTAAAAGTTACACTTGAATTTTTTATAACGTTTTAGTAAATTATATTGTAGAGCATTGATGAACAATGAGCATGGATACTGAAGTATGAGAACGTTTAGCACGCACAAAAACAATACCGATAAGAGGTGTGAGCGTGGATGGAAATGAAGAACAATGTGCTCATCTATGAAATCATATGACACAACTATCAATTTCAAACTCCATCATGCTCCGCTGTTTTTATAACATTGCTTTTGATAGAAACATTATAGAGATCTGCGGTTTCCATTATTGCAGAGAGAAGACTCGATATCATCGTAGAATATCAAAATTTAATTATTCAGTAATGGATCAATTAGATGAATTGTTGGTGGAGATTTTCGAAAATGATATTTTGAAGCTATTTCTGAAATATTTACGTAACAGCGTCAGATCATTTCGAACTTCAAAACAAACATTACTATAAGGAAAAGTCTTATAATTCTCGGTTGGTTGGAATAAGCGAAGACTGTTCATCTTTTTGAGATCGAAGGAGAAGTATCTTCAGAATATCGCTTTTAAAAATCTCCACCAAGACCTCGTCTGATCATTCAATAATGGACCAATCAAATTTCGATATACTTCGATAATCTCGGATCTTCTCTCTTAAATTATAAACTCCCGCAAGTCTGTATGATGTCCTTATCAGAAATTATTCTAAATACAATGAAGCACCTAATATTTTGAAACGGATAGGCATTTTTATTATGCTCAGAAGCATAGAAGTATTTCATTCTTCTAAGACTTTGATCGCTTTCTATTGTGTATCTATGTTTACAAATGATAGGAACTTTCCACATCCCACACTCACATCCTCCTCTAAGTTTCGTGAAACTTTCATGGAAAATAGATCTTGCAGAGTAGAGCAAAAGTTGTGGTAGACTCAAGGTTCCTAAATACTGTCTTCTAAGAAATATTGAAGTCATGATTTGAAAAAATGATCGCACATTCCGATCCGATTTCTTGGAAATGCTACGCTGGATCTAGTTAAATAGTTTTCACAAGGATGTGAGTGTGGGTATTTATATTGTCTCAAAGTACAATCACACTCACATCCGTTTTTTTTATTGCTTTTTATTGAATTTTTTATATGAACGAATAAATAATATCCTATCAATTTCATTTGGTGATATACATGTTCGTCTTTGAGTAAATATCAATCCAACAGTGCTAAAGAATCTTTACATCGAAGCACCAGTCGCTGGTATGGAATTTACGCTTATGGCTGCTGGTGATAATAATAGAAAATCATGACAAGATTCAGTGATAGATCAGAACTTCATTGACCAACGATCAGTTAGATGACTTGAGTGTTCCGCAGAGCACACGTCCTGTGATATTCAACTGAATCGAAAAATGATGAGATATAAACAGTTGCTAATAACGAATTTTTAATATCTGTTATCCTCGTTAGGTTTTATTTATAATTCTTACTTTTTGTAAAAAAGAAATCGATTCATTGAAAACCATCGGATTTTATCATTAATTTAGTCTCAAAGGACGATATGTGTCATGTGAATTTGATCAATTTTTGTTCCATTTGTTTTGTTTTATTCTTTCGATTTTGTTACTTTGTTTATTTTAATATAAAAAAAAAGACTATGACGAAATTATCACATAACATGGTTAGATGTAATAAGGGTATTTTTCCTAATATTCTTGTTATCGTAAAATAGCGTATGGAAGGTCTTTGCTACTTCAAGAAGTTAACATCTGTTTCGAATATATTATTGCTTAACCAGTTAGTTGTAGCAATCAAATAAAAGACAGAAAAAATTTTTAGGACATCAATTCAATAAGTATTTACAGTTTTTCTTGTTTTGCATTTTTAAATAAATGGACAACTAAGAAATATTCCAAAAACAAACGAATAGACAAGTCATAAGGATGAATTTATTGAAAAAAAAAATTGTGTTCACTAGCGAGGGAAGGTCTCCAAGTCTGAGTCTCAGTTTTGAATGAGATACATACCAGTTTGTAGAGCTCGACAAACTGATTCTCGTGATATGTTTTGTTTTTCCCCATTGAACTTTAAATGAGAGAAGTAAATCGAATTTCATAGTGTATTTCTTCACTTTGAATAAGTTTCGCGACAGTTATTAGAAATTAGGAACTTCAATGGCACTTAAAATTTAAAGAGCAATGTTAAAATATAGACAACATCGCTTCCAATAGCCTGTTTTTATATTACTTTAAGCGAAAGTTGAGTTTCAACTGCTGGATACATAACAAAGTTTTCCCTCAAGACTGCTAAAGTATCTTGAAGTGTAATAATTCTACAATTAATATTCATAGTGGTGGTAGAGTTGAGTTTTACTAGGAAATACTGTTCTAATATTCTTTTAAAATGATACAAAAATAGATCATTGCATAGAACATTGTCTATGTTTTAATATTGTCTTTTAAATTCCTAATTTCTAACAACTGTCCCGAAACTTATTCAAAGTGGAGAAATTCACTACGAAAATCGAGTAGCTTTTCTCATTTGAAGTTCTATGAGGAAAAACGAAACATACCACGAGAATTACCTTGTCGAGCTCTACAAACTGGTATATATTCCATTGAAAACTGAGACTCACACTTGGAGACTTTTCCTCGTAAGTAGTTTTTTCATATCACGCATTTTACATTTTCTACAATTTTTCTATGAATGGCAATTAATCGACAAATTGCATTGGTACCATTCATCCAGTTGTTTTCAACAGAGCTGAACTATTCAAACAGTAACCAGTAATATTTTTGATAATTGAAAAAATTACTGAAAAGAGTTGATCACTTAATACAGTTGTCGAAAAAAGAACTGATTCATAGAACTGTGAATTGTTACAAGGCAGATTCTGTGTTCAATTTTATTGATAGACATTTCTATTATATTGATCAGCTGTTTTTTCAATGGGTAATTGAACATAAATTCATATTCGATAAAGAAGTCAGAGACATCCGAGATTGAATTGTTTCTTTGTTAATGGTTATTATCATCAATGAATGAGAAATGGCCTTGTCACTACTAAAGTACTACAGGAAATTGTGCTTCATATCTTTATTTCCACATTCTCAAGCTTCAATGATTCATGAATAGCATAATTTCACTTGTAAAATGCATGCATCACCAAGATTATCTATATGAATTGTTAAAGCTTGAGAATGTTGCAATGAAGTTATAATGCACAACTTTCTCTGTCATTATACTGACAAGGTAATTTCTCATTCATTGATGGTAATAATCATTAACACAGAAACAATTCAACTTTAACTCTCTCTCTAACTACTTCATCAATTACGGATTTATGCTCAATGATCTATGTAATCGAAATGTGCATCACTGAAATTTAACAAAAAAAAAAGTTTTTAAAAGTTGGTCATTTTAAATAATTCACTTACGTCATATATTTAAAAAAATTACGAATGCGTTTCCAATCAACTAAAAGGTATAATTTTCTAGAGAATTTCTTTCAAAAAAAAATCATTCCTTTATTACACTTTAATGCGATTAAAATATACAAAATTTTCATGCCAATATATAATAAAAAACAACATTCTTTTTACAGCAGAATCTAAACAAATCTGTACATTAATGTAAATCTTTCGAGCATGATTGATATACATTTGTTTGGATTGTATACAATAAATCTTGTTTCTTTTAAGAACATCAACGACAGTGGTGACATGAATAATGTATGATCTATATCAGCATATGGAAGATGTTCGTAATCAATGGTAGTTTTAGAAAAAGTGTTTAACTATACGATCTATCACTAGCCTATGCTAATAGAGCAATATCAAATACTTATAAATAGAGCGAAAATTGTTCGTAAAATATTAAAAAAAGCTTAATAATATTAACTATTTGTTTTAATTGTAAAGAATTTTTATTTAGAATAATTGAATATTTTAAAATATCTAAAACTTATCTTTGACTCACGCCTACAGATAATAAAATTCGCTATAGAATGAATTGACATGCGGTTTATCTGAAAAAAATAATTTAATTGACATTGATTCGAATAGTTTGTTATATCGAACCATAAAATATACTTATATCGGTTCTTCTTTTTTTTTTTGGCTTGCCATGAGATAAATCATTCTCGATTTGTCTTCTAGACATTTTAACCCCTCTGGTATTTTTACATTAACATATCATTGAAACTTTTTAATTCTTTGATTTATATTTGACTAATGTAAAACAAAAAAAAACAAGAACCTATCAACCTCAATTAGTCATTTTGAATTTTTTTTTTTTTTTTTTTCTTGTTCTTCATAATGATCGTACAGAAAAATTCTTGTTTGCATTTTTGTTCTACGATTGTCCATCATTGGAAGTCAAGAAAAAAAAATTAGAATAAAGTAATAGAAAAGAACAAATAATTTCCATTTGTTCATCAATCGATTGGTCATTGAATATTATTTAAGACATTCTTCTATTTAAACATTTTTGTGTGTGTCGAGATCATCATTTATAGAGAAGAACATTCTACAGATAGAGCTCTACACTTGAAAGGCTTTGATGACATCGTTGTGTATATTCTGGAAGATGGAAGAATATATACATAAGAACAAATTCATTGAAGAAAAACATTACAAAGTCTTTAGAAGTTCTACATAGAAGAATGACAAGAATGACGGGAAAAAATAGAACGTATGTTAGATCACTCATACTAATGTTCACTATAAAAGAGAAAAAAAAAAGAATTAGTTTTAGTTATGTAATCATTTGCACCGGCACGTCAATGTTAGGAAAAAAAAGAAAACGAGAAGAAATGGCAAGAGTAAAATCAACAACTCTTTTTTTTAGCTATGATTTGATAGATAACGTATGTGTATGTGCTTGTAAGAAACAAACGTAAGTAGTCATTGCATTAATATGGAAGATAGATGACGATTATTATGAAATAAAACGTTATTAAGATTGAATTAAGAAACAACACAGAAAAAAACCGAAGGTAAAATAAGATAAATATATTAAGTTTATATATAATAAATGATCAGAAGAGAAATTTTACGGCATTTTGCGTTGTACTCATGAGGAAAAGAGCATGATAGTTCATTTGCTTCTCACAAGAATATGATGTAACTAATGTGCATGATCATTTCTTTTGCAAGCTTTCTACTAGATGAATGACAGACAAGTAAGCAGTCATACGATGGAAAAAAAAAAGAAGAATAAGTACTATAGTGAAATGTTCCATCTGTATTTCACAGTAGGTAGTCCGTATTTCTGCCATTGGACAAGGACGACTTATATATAGACCCTATCATTTTTATATAAGAGCCATTATCGTCTTTTGTATTTTATTTCTCAATTGATCTATTCTTTTCTTTTGTTCTTCTTGTGAATGAATAGTAAGTATGAATGTTAAATAGCTCGTCTTTAAACATCGTAAGAATCTAAGACAATCTAATTGTCACGTCTTTGTTTAATGCGTTCTTACAGTTCTCTAATGAAGCACATAACAGCGATCATTGCTGCCTGATGTGTATATGAACACACACGTTGAGTAAGAATCGATCATAGCTACTATTATTATTCTAGCTTGATCTCATCATCAAATGTTTCTGTTTGACTGGTTATATTAGACAAACAGGCGTTCTCATTCTTTCTAATTATGAACTCAATGTACTGACTGGTTTATTTCGTTCATTTTAGTAACATTAACGTGACGTTTTTTCCATCAGATTAGATGGGCTTGTCGACAAGCACGAACATCGCATGTTGTCTAATCGTATATTTCTTTCTTATCTAATGATAATTATCGTCGTTGTTGTCAAATTCGGAGAAAATAAAACTTGTACTCCTAATAAGCTAATTCTTCTTTCCAATTGTTCATTTAATTATCTTCATTATTATAATTACTCTTTTCATTTGTCTAATAATATAACAACGAACGATAATCGAGTATTATCAATGATATTACCATATCCATCAAATAGAAATGATGACAATAATTTATTGATAACTATTATAACTCATAATAAATCTTCAAAACCATTAATACGTTTTAATTTAAATATGATACAATGTTCAGATAAAAATTTATTATTCAATTGGACATCACTTGAATCATCATCAACATTACGTGGTGAATTTGTACGTACAACATTTATTGATAAAAATATTATGTATTTACCATCTGGTAAAACATATTTAAAAAATTTAACAGCAATTGATTGTTCAACAAAAACACTTTATCGTACAGATCATGAACAATTATTTAAACTTGATTTATATATTGAATCAACATTAAATGATTATTGTTCAAATGATAATTCATGTTATCCATATGAAAATTATCAATGTGATCAAATTAATCATCGTTGTATATGTCGACAACCTTTACAATCTTATTTCATACAAAATCAATATCCAATATGTATACATGCTGTTCATACTATGGAACAATGTACTATGAAAAATATCAGATGTTTAGAATGGTGTCATCAAAATCGTTCATCAACAATGTGTACATGTCCAAAAAATATATCAACTAAAATATTATTAGATAATGATCACGGTAAGAGAAGAAATAAATTTTTTTCTATTTATTTTATTTTATTTTTAATTAGCCTATTGTGAAAGTCATACAGGTGGAATATGTAATTCATTTATTCAATGTTCATTAAATGAAATATGTATACATGGAATTTGTCAAAATATGAATTATAAACCATACTATTCAAATTCTCTTGATATTGTTACTATTTCAATAATTGTTTCATGTCTAATTCTTTTTATGATTAGTCTCATTGTTGGAATTAGCATGTACATATTACGTCGTCAACGAAAGAAAAACCAATATCTTGCACCAATTAATTCTATCCGTAGAAATCAACAACAATTAATTTTACCAACAAAGTGTGACTATGATAATGTAACATATCGAGCATTTCGTAATAATACTCAACTTTCATCTAGTGATGATAATGATAGTACACCAATAACAACTTCTGATGATTGTACATATGAACCAAAAGTAGTTTATCTTGGAGGTGAACAACAATTAACAGCCATATTTGCTTAAGCAAAAAAAAAAAGAAAAAGAAACAAGAAAAATTCTTTTTTGTTTTCTTATCAATAAAATACTTCATAGATGTTTTTTTTGTTTCTCATCAGCTAATAATTTCTATATAAGATTTTGATTTATTACCAAAAGAAATATCTACTAGATGATGATTATTAAAATAATTTTATTTGATTAATTCTATTGTTTTAATTTTGAATGATATCATTCAGAACAATTAATATACATTTACGGATCGATAAATAAATCATTACATATGTTATTATCAGTTTTGTTGTTCCTCTATGTTTGAATCATTGACTCTTGAATATATTTAAGTACAAAAGATGACATTAATATGACATATTTTCAGTCGGATAAGTGTCAAAAAAACAAAAATTTTATTGATTATGTCAAAATTTTTCGATAATTAAATCAATAAAATGTTTAATAGATTGCACCTGTACTAATTAAATTCATTTTGTTGGACGAGAAAAAAAATAATATATTTTCTTGAAATAAAAAAATTCTGTTTCTTAATTTTTTTTTTTATTGATACAAACACTTCTCATTTTATTTAAGTATCTTAAATGATTATTTTCACAGATTTCTTTTTTTCTCTTCTCATTGTGTTAGTTATTAGCATAATTCTTGTATAACTTATAGAAAGTACTTTTCTTTCTTTTATATGATATGATCTTTACTTTCTTGGTGTATTGTTTCGACATTACTAAACTTTTTTTTTTGTTCTGTTGTTTCTATCAAATTTCATTCTGTTAATTGCTTATAGATTGTTTCATCGATAATGTTGATTGATTGTTTATTACTGATTAGTTTTCTTTTTCTTTTTCTTCTTCTTCTTCTTTTCTCATATTATATTTCTTTATAAGTATTTGTTTATGAAAGATAATTATCAGCAAAATATAATCGGATAAATAAACAAAATCGACTTATAAAAATGTGATAGTCAATATGTTATAAGTGTCCTCCTGTAAGTTCAGAAAATATCATGCTAGACTTATTATTGTATTAATTGATATTAATGATCATCTATTATTCGCATTGACAAGTTTTATTCGAACATAGAAGAAAATTATTCTAAGTATAGAAAGTTTTTTCTTAGTTGAACAGACCATAGCTCGATGATTGATAGTATATGTATTAGAACACGAAATAATATGAATTAATTCTAATGAAAAATAATATTAAAGCATTTTGGATTAATTTCAATACTAATTCTAATTTTTATATTCTTGTGTAAGTAATAATCCTAATCTGACATATCTATGTGACGTGTTTTCTTAAACTTGTTTGTTAGATTTTAAAATAGCTGACACCTATATAATAAAAGGAAACAATTGTTTGATTAACTTATTTGATTAATAATTATATATAAGAAAAAAACACCCTATATTAACTTTTATAGAAAAAAAAGATTCTTCTCTTTATATATTGTTCTATAGTTACAAGTCAAGTAAAATAAAACCATTTGTCTTGTTAATATAACATATTGTTATAGAATAGAGTTTGCTATTTTAGAAAAAATTTGACCGTTTAAATTCATAAAACCTAAGAAATAGTTTAATCTTAATCATAGTTTACAAAAAAAAAAACTTTTTATTTTTCTTCTATTCAAAGTTTTATTCAACTATTTGATTATTTGTATGAAACTGATCTGTTCTTAATCAATCATAATGTAAACAGTAATATTCTCCAAAGACTATGGTACTAATAACTAAACTATTCTTAGTGAGATTTATTGTCTTTTTTCTTCATGTTTGAATTAATGATAACAATAAGTTTTTTTTTAGAGATTTAGTACAATTTTTAAAAATATTTTTCAATATTAGTTTGTTTTTCTAATTAATATGTCACATTAAGATTCTTATAATCTCATTGATGTGAAAATAATATTTATCATATTATGATAAGAAAGCACAAACTTCATTATCATGCATGAAATGTTATATGTCGTCTAAATTATTCAAGATAGTTTCTAGAAAATATTTTTCATTAATCAAAATATCCTTGTCTTTACAGACTTGAAGAAGTCTTGAGAAGATAAATTAATTTTATTAACGTTTTAACATGTAGTTTTCTCATAATAAGTAAAAAAACAATCGAATATTATCTATTATAAACATGCACTGTTTCACAGATATACTGTCAATAAAACACATTCAATTTATCTGTCTATAACTATTATTTCTTGTCTAGAAGAAAGCCTCATAGAAAATATCTTTTTTTCCAAAAACATATGACAGGAAAAGATCTCGACATCTATATATTATCAGGTAAAGTATAGCTTACAGAAAATTAATAAAGAAATTTTCTGTTTATAGACATCGTATGCAATTGATTAAACTCAAAAGAGTAATCTATAAAATCTGATTTACGCATTCTATTCTTAAATATTAATTAAAACTGATTTTTGACATAAAAGTATTTAGAAGAAAAAAGAATCAAAGAAATCTGTTTTAAATCATTACTTATGAAAAATAACGCATATATTCATTCGACGCAAATATAGTTAATAAGAAATTGGCTCTCGTTTTTTTCTTTTGAATTTATCTGATTTTGCAGGTGATCAAATAACAAAAAGTGACATGACATGTTTCGTGAAATGTGTATTGTCGAATGGCATAGTTTTTTGTTTTGTACTTGTTTTTCTATTGATAGAGTTTCCTTGCATTGATTATGGCATTCTTTTTTTTTTCCTTTTTTTTTTTTGTTTCTTCTCATTTTCTCTCATGTTTTTCTTTCTAGGATATAAAAGAAAAATGTTACTAAAGAGCGTAATGAAACACTGTTGTTAATTAGATGAGAACGTCGTCCTCAATGGTCAAATTACAAACATATTTTTTATACAATAATAATAAATAATTAAAAATGGGTTTTATCAATGAAAGTAATCATTCGTTATCATTTTCATTTGATGATGATACAGATTTTTCTCATAAACTTAATATCATACAAGGATGTATTTATATTCCAATTTTTTGTGCTGGCATAGCTAATAATTTATTAACTATCTTAATTATTTTACTAAATCGAGATATGCATACAGTTACGAACTGTTATTTACTAAATTTAGCTATAAGTGATAGTTTACCATTAATTGTTAGTTTACCATTTGAAATAGCGGTAAAGTCCTTTTGTATTAAAATTATTTTAATTTCTCTTTGTTCTTTTTTTTTTGTTTTTGTTTTTATTATAGTTTTTACCAATTACAGTACCATGGGGACAACTTGGTTGTAAACTTCGAAGTCTTCTTGCTGAAACTTCTACAAATGCATCAATTTTAACCATTAGGTAATTGAATATGTAAAATAAAAATTGAATGATAATAGCTTATTTTTATCTTGTGTTTTTTTTAATTTTTCATCAAGTGCATTTACAATTGAACGTTATTTAGCTGTATGTAGACCACTTCATACATCATTTTTATCAACAACTCGACGTGCGATTAAAATACAAATATTCATATGGTTTATTGCAATCTTATCTTCGACACCTTATTTATATATAACAAAAAAAGTCCATAATTTTTGTTCATTCGATCAAGATTTTCATTTATTAATTAAAATATGTTTTTATATATCGGCAACAATTTTTTTTGTATTACCCGTATTTATTCTTTGTATATTATATGCATTAATGGCACAACGTTTATATTCAGCTGGTTTACTTCATGGTGTACGTTTGTCAAAAATTAGTAGAAGAGAATCATATTCAATATCAGGACATTTAAGAAGTATTGAAAATGATAATACTGGTTTAGAATATAAATTTAAAAATTTTTCTCGTTCATCAACACGTTCTCTCATGAGAAAAGATCCATCTATACGACGTAATAATAGTTTTACAGCTACACAACAATTAAATGTTCCATCAATGAAAAAATCAGCTTTTAAAATGCTTTGTAAGTATATTTATATGAATTATTTAAAAAAATATCATATTGATTATAATATAAAATATTCTATTATGAAATATTATTCACCAAATTAATTAAATAATTTTTTTAACATATGTAGAATAGAATTATTTGAATAATTCTTTTTTAAGAAAATTTATGATTGAACTTCTTATTGTAGATAATTAATAAATAATTATCTAGTATTTCTACAATATCTATGACATAATTAATTTTGACAGTTTAAGTGCAGTTACTTGTATTACTCTATGTCTGTCAATCTATTTCAATAATACTGCCTATTTCTTTTATTAGTCGTGCAGAACCATTACATTTTTTATTACTTTGTGCCATTATTATTCGTTTATAAGATCATATATGACAAGTCGTAAATAGATATAGAAGTTCTTGCAGATTTACAATTACTATTGTTGTTTTGTATTTTCTGCAACATACTAATGATTGTTAAAACAAGGTGACCTGTGGTGACTGATAGGATTAACCTCCATAAAGCTTGTGATATTTTTATCGCTTTCAAACTTGTTTTTCTTTTCTCATATTATATCTATCCATAAATGATTATAAAAAGTTCAGTTAAATAATTTCATTACAAAGATTATTGTGTCGAATTATTTTTCCAATACAAAATATAAAAACTATGTTACTTTGTACAGTCATCTAATGACCTTCATGATAACCTCTGTTCCTATATTAGTATTTGATTTATGACGTATGTTTTGTTATTATGAATCAACGTCTGGTTAAGATAATTCGACGTCGAATAATTATCTTTATTTTGTTTTACTAATTTGAGACATACACACTGACCCAATCATCATCTATCCTTTTTTAGATGTAATGTTCATTGGATGTAAATATTCTTTCTGTTGTTTGAATTCTTATTTTATTAATTGATTTTTTTAAATCTTTATATTCAAAAGAGATTTGTCGGAGGATTATAATTATTCTAAAAATAGTTATGATTATTCTAGAAAAAGAAAACATCTTGACATCAAATAACCGATGATATTTTTTATCTGATGTATATATTTCAATTAAGAATAGTAATCAACGTTATTGAGAAAAAAAACATGTTTATATTAAATTTCTTATGAATAGAACTCAGGATATACAATATATCACTATGTGAGGCTTCATAATTTTTTTCAGGATGTAATTTGATGGCATGATTTTCAGTGATTCAAAAAAATTGTTTATTTATCTTTATTAATTATCTGCACTGTTTTCCGGCTAGTTCAATATGAGTCAAAACACAGCTCATAACAATTCTTATTCAATAGAACTTGCAAATAATCTAGACGAATATTTTTTTTTCTTACTGTTGATTTGTTTTGATTCTCTTTCTTTGATCAAGTAATAAGATAAGAATGATGAATCATTTTTCTACTTTCTATTATTATACGAAAAAAAATTGATGGATATGGCCAAAATTTTGCATTAATTCTGTTTGTAATGTTGTGATGAAATACAACATTGTAGAGACTTGATTCTTCTTTTTTCTTGGTTAGAATAAGCAAAATGTCTATTTTAAAAATATACAAAAGAATTTAATCGGAAATGTTTCCCAAGGGTCATAATAAACCGTAGAACAAAAAGTGTTGAAAGCTTTTCCGGTATCTTTGTAACAACTATTATATTGAAATATATTATGTTTATTTAACCTTTTTTTTCATCATTAACTTTTGACATTTTCTAGTATCATATGTATATGCCGCTGTTCATGACAATAATGGTCTTCTTATGATATTTAAAAAAATGATTTAGAGTATAAAAGTCTCAACAATAAGCAGTTCAATTCAAAAAGAAATACTTTGATGTTTATAAAAAGAAAACAAAGTTTTATATGAATATTTCATTGAGAAGCTGTGTCCGATATTAAATATTATTGTTTAAGTAGAATACTGGAAAAAATTCCTTTTCACATAAAAAAATATATTTTTTTTTTGTAACAAGTTTTCATTCGAAGTAGAATTGAAGTTTTTTGATCGTTTACATTAGTAGAAGAAGAAAACTTATCATATTAAATGACATTTTTTGATCAAATAAAATAAAAAGTCATTCAAGAATTTCCTGATATGTTTTATTCTAAGATTTTTTTTCTGACATTGAAATCAACTTCGTTGATATATTTTTGCCATTAGACATTTTCATTTTCCTAACAAAATATAAGGATCAAGTCTCTACGATATGACATTACAATGCGACATCACACAACAAAATTAATGCAGAGTTTTTGTCTCATCCGTCTTATTTTGAATACAAAACGTACGTTAATATGACATACTCATTGTATAGTCTTCAAAAAAATAATAATGCGGAAATACATGTTCAAAATCGAATATTATAATGAGTTATTCTTTATATTTAGTTGCTGTTGTCATTGCTTTTATAATATGTTATGCTCCATTTCATGTACAACGTCTAATTACAAGTAGTTCCAATGTTCATCTCTTTTCATTAAGTCAACAACGTGCAATAACAATATTTTATTTCATTAGTGGTATTTTCTATTATCTTGGTTCAACAATAAATCCAATTTTTTATCATTTATTTTCTCATAAATATCGTGAAGCATGGATACGTACAATGAAACGAATTGTTTATTGTCAACGACACCATCATCACCACCATCACCATCATTACCATCATCATCATCATCATCATCGTCAATACAGTCAAAATAATAATGATCATTTTCATAAAACATGTAAATCCTCTACAGTAGCACGTCTGGTTGTATGCACAAATATACCTCGACCATCATTAAATAAAACATCAAGAACACTAGAAACAATCTATGGATCATCGAATAAATATAAAACTAGTATTGATATGAATTGTAATAAACAGCATGTTTTACGACTATCATTACCTACATTTAATACTGAACGAATACGATTATGAAAATAAATAAATATTATATATATATTTGAATTTGATTATTTCTTTTATTGTATTGGAAAAAAGGATAAATAAAACGATAAAACTAAGAAAAGAAAAATTTGTGATATTCTTTTAGTTATCATATGTACTATTCACTGAATTTGTATCACTAAAATTATCATCAGAGTATGATTGATTTCCTTGATGGTTCGACGATGATTGACTTGTTATTCGACGATTAGGATCCTCACCCACATACTGATTGCTGTGTCTAGTGTACTAATCAATGTGAGAATGCGACTAAACTGCAAAAGCACCGCGATGAAAGAGATGTCGATTTTTTAATCTTTTATAACTAGATGTTGACAAATTGATATTGGTTAAGAACATAACAATAATTTTACTTCAAAGGTAAGAATAAAAACAAAACATTAATATATTTAACTAACTTTTATTGTTCGAAGTTTTGATAAACTAATCAGCAAAATATAATGATAGCTCTCGAACCATATTCAATTGATCTATTATGGATATTGAATTTTGGTTTATTTTTGCTGTATTTATATTAGCATTTGATATCGGAGCAAATGATATAGCTAATTCATTTGGTACAAGTGTTGAAAGTAAAGTATTAACATTAAAACAATCATGTATTCTAGCAACAATATTTGAAATACTTGGATCGATCTTAATTGGTATTTTACAAAAAGATTTTAATATAATTTGTTGATCTATTTCAATTGATTATCTAGAAGTGGCAGTGTCCAATACAATAAGGAAAGATATTATTCCAACTTCATTTGAAAATCCTAAATAATTAATGCTCGGTCAACTTTCATCATTAATTGATAAATTGGATTTAAAATTAGTTTTTGCTGTATGTATAAAAACAAATTGTTTATGTAGGTTGTTGAATTTAGTTGTTAGTTGCAACAGTTTTTTAATTTACTAGTATTACGTATACATAGTATTGAAGGTGGAACAATTGGTTATGCTCTTATTTCTCAAGGATCATGAAATATAAAATGGAGTGTATTTCCTAGAATTGGTATGTAGAAAACAATGAGATGAGGATTAGATTTATTTATAAAATATAATAGATGGTTCATGGTTTGTTTCACCTGTATTAGCTGGTTTTATATCAATAGTTTTATTTATAATTATTCGAGAATGTATTCTTGAACGAATAGATTTTGTTTTTCTGTTTATTTGTTGATGAAAAAAAATGTTTTTTTTTGTTCGGAGTGATCAAATGAATGCTGTTCGTCGTTGGTTACCGGTTTTTATGGTGTAACAATAATGATTAATGTCTTTCCAATAATTCATTCAGCATCACGAAGTTTGTTGTTTGACGAAATTAATTTTAATAATTTTAATTTTCTAATCGATTTAGTTTTATATTTTAATCGTATTCCATTATGGAAAAATTTTATAATAACAATTAGTGTTGATCTTATAATTATTCTTTCCGTTATGATATTTGTTAAGCCATGTTTAAAAAAAGTATGGAAGGTAAAATGATTCAATTATTAAAGAGTGCTTAAAAAATCCCATTACGAACGATTGCTAGCAAATAAAAACACACCGTTTTGTTCCGTTTTCAATGCTCTATCTTTTGCTATACTTCAAAAATAGAAAATTATTACAAAAATTTTCTCGCATGGTTATCTAATAATAATTAATAATGATCAACATTTAATTCTTATAATCAATAGTTTTCAAGACTATTTATAATAACAAAGCCCATTGAATTCAGCATCTAATAGTATAGTTTTTGAAACTTTTCTGCTCTTAGACAACGGAAAATCGATGAAATATAAATCATTCCTTAAAATTGTGTCTGCTACTTAAAAGATAAAAATTATATTTCATTTTGTTGTTTGTCATGCATATGAGCATTCTATTAATAAATATTTTATTATATAATCAATGTAGCTTTCGGACCTTACGGATCCATCATCATTACTATGGCTTTTTATCAAGTCCTATGATAAGTTTTTATTAATTTTTTCAATGATTTTGAAGCACGATAGGCAAACAGTCGAATATTTTAAACTATTGATAATTGCTTTATGAAGTCTGAAAAGTATATTAATGATATAATGAAAAATTTTTTTATTTATTGGATATCCATATGCTCAGCATGAACAACAGAATGAAATTTGATCTTCATTTTTATATTTATGATCAAAAGTAAGATAAATGTAGATTTATGCTTCATGTATTAGAAAAAAAATTATTTTTACATCATCAGATATTCATCAGGAAAAAATTTTAGTATAACATCATCACATATTCATAATGAAAAAAAAACATTTATTTTTACAACATTAGATATCATGAAGAAAATAAAAATTTAACATCATGTGATATTCACCATGAAAAAGAATCGTATTTGAATAAAAACAAAACGATCAGTTTTTTTTGTAAGATACTATGACGACATAATGAACAGAACATGCATACTTTTCATTTTAACCCTTTCAATCCCGTCATTTTCTTGCGTTCAGCTATCACAATCATATGTTTTCGAATTCTAGATTCATTATTCGTATCCCTACGAAGTGATTTTCATTTAAACATATCATATGATATTCGTCGTCTAAGACGAAAGAACGCAAAATATTTCTTTTTCGTTCTGCATGTCATCTCGTAGATATCATGCGGGATTGAAAGGGTTAAAATCAGAATGACAATCAAAAAAATGAGAATGATCATCATAACGAACGTCGCGATTGATAACCATAATTGTAAATCATCTTTTTTAATACGGGAGAACAATTGACGACATGTGAAAATTATGTTGTTGCACCATATTTTATCAAGTAGGAGACATATTGACATGTAAAATATCACTATAATCAATAATAATTGATATTTCACTTTAAAAACATAAGCCATTAGTATAATACATAACAGAATCCATGAGAATCTTATGTTTGTAAATATATTACCACCTGTTGAAATATATGAAAATACAATATTCTTATGTAAGTAATGAAAATTCTTTCCTTTATTTTTATGTAATGGTACTAATTTTCTCACCTTGTTGAATTTGTTGCTGATTTTGTACTGGTGGTGGTAGTGGTTTATTTTGTACTGGTGGTGGTAATGGTTGATTTTGTACTAGTGGTGGTAATGGTTGATTTTATCATACAATGGGCTATTTAATTTCAGTCTGAATTTATCATATAAAAATAATACTTGATTTCAAACTGAAACGTGAGTCTAGGAGTGAGGGGGGGGGTGACTGAGGGTGTGGGTGTTGGTCTGGGACCCACACCCACACCCACACTCATGGTGCGGGTGTGGGCGCGCGAGTGAGGGTGAGGGTGTGCTTGTGGTTTTGTGTACTATAGGCTTTAGTCCCCTGCACAGGGGACTAAGCTTTTTGTGGGGGGACTAAGGGGGACTTTGCAGGACTAGGGGGACTAAGGGTTTTTAGTGAGACTAAGGGTTTTTAGTGAGACTACGTAGTAGTGTCCTGCGGGAACGACTTTTTTCCCTAATTTTCCCATTCCCATTCCCATTCCCATGGGAATGGGAATTTCCATTTAGACTTAGGGAATGGGAACATGGGAATGGGAACAGAATTAAAAATTGACGTTCCCAAAATTCTTTCTATCTTTTTTCAATACACATAAAAATATTTCTATCTGATAACTGTTTATTTTCAATAACTTTTCTTATTCATATACAATTAACAGAAAAATAACAAATGTGTATCAGCAAAAAATAGACTGCTTATTGGTTCTTAACCACATCGTAATTTAATCATCACAAATATTGGCATTGGTTAAGCAGGTGTTCCTTCGTGTATGCACTATACATACAAGCTGGTGTTCCTTTTCATTAAAAAAGTGTTCCATCGTCTAATAAGAAAATGTATAGTCAACATAGTGTTCATCATATAGGGAGAATATTCCTCTTACGGTAAAGTGTTTCCCTCCCTTCTCCCAAATAGAAAATAAAAAAAATTATAAATAAATATTAAGGTTATTTACAACAAAAAACAAATGATTTATCAATAATAATCTCAATATTTATTTATAACTTTTTTAATTTTCTATTTGGGTGAGGGGAGGGGAACACTTTACTATAAGAGGAACATTCTATATGATGAACACTAGGTTGACTATACATTTTCTAATTAGACGGTGGAACACTTTTTTAATGAAAAGGGACACCAGCTTGAATGTATATGTATAGTGCATATACGAAGGAACACCTGCTTAACCAATGCCAACAAGAGCAACAAAACAGGAAAAGAAAAGAAGTGAAGCACTATGTAACAACGTCGCGATGCGCAAAACGTGATGTCTCGAGAAACTGGTATACATATATGCCAATGACACTTTCGCATAGATGAATAGAGCCTTGGAAAACCTTATGGGAATTATGGGAATGGGAACAAAAAAAAATTTTTAGGGAATGGGAAAAAGGGAATGGGAACAAAAGAAAATTTTTAGGGAATGGGAAAAAGGGAATGGGAACAAAAATTTTTTTTTAGGGAATGGGAATAGGGAATGGGAATCAGAAAAAGTCGTTCCCGCAGGACACTACTACGTAGTATCAAGCAAGAAAAGTTTGATTCGGAAGAAATTGGTGTGGTTTTTTTTATTTTAGAATTCAGTTTGAAATAAAAAAGCCCATAGACTCGATTTTATACTGGTGGTGCTAGTTGTTGAATTGCTGCATGAATGAAATTTATATTTTGGCTCTAAAATATTTACAAAAAAATAATTTCTTGTCTAGAAATTCTAAAGTACTTCAATAAAATTTACTTACAAAATTACGAGTATCATCATTGATACGTTTAAAACCACCAAATTCTTTTATCATCTTTTGAATTGTTGTTTGCTGTGCCATCGTTAAGAGAAAAAAAAACGTACTAGTGATGTTAAAAGAAATGGAAATTTTTCTAGTATATATCGGTTTATATAGCCATTATATCTCTCTCTTTTCGTCGTTCTATATCAAATCAGACATCATTAACGAGTACATTTCATTCGTTCAATTGTCTGCAAACGAAAAAATGTGCCTAGAAACGTCTGAATATCATCATACTGATGTCATTTCATTTCGTAATGTACAAAGATAGAATAAAAGAGCGATTAAACTACGCTAAGAATGACCAAAGAAATCGAGGGATGAATAGCTACAGCTCTGGATGAAGATTACGATTCTCGTACACAGTTGTATATGGTTGTACTACAGAAGTGGAATATCTTGTAAGCAAGATCTTGGGACAGATGCGAGGTACAAAAATCTGAACAGATCATGAAAAATTATATACAAGAGAACCCTATGATTTGTCAACAATTTTTTTTGTCTAATATGTTGCTTTTCGTGATCTTTTTCCCTAATATTTGATACAAATAATTTTATTCTGGATACCAGTATTGAAGATCTTTAGTCAATATCTTACTGTTCGATCTTCATGTAATACACAAAAATTTTTATGTGAGCATTTATTAAATGTCTAGATCTATTTAACCTTGAACAAAAAAAGTCACATTTCGAAAAACAAAAAGCTGATTCAACAAACATATCCATAATCAGATAATGCTGGATAATAGTTTTCTGATGTTGAATAAGCAGATGTTCTTCAATGCAATGCCTTAGCGAATAATAATATATATTGAGTACATATAAACGAGAGGAATACTTCAATATATTTTGAATCATATTCTTAATGCTCGCTTAGAATCTATGAGGGCATGTAACGAAACCATTCACGACAAAGATATGAAAAACTTTGATATATGAATATAAAATAGCATCTGGATCAATTTCAATTACTCCCTCATAATAACTATATGATTGTACACATTATCTTATACGTATGTTAAAATCAAGGCGAGATATTCTTACTTTTAAATTATTCATTAGCTTGTGTTTTTATTGTATTCGTTGCATCTTTTGTAGCCGTTGATCCTTGTAAACTACTTTTTTTCTAATGTTTATATAAAATCTATTTCATTGGCAATTATTATTTAGAAAAAAGTTTCATTTTTACTTTCTTCTCCACAGAAAAATCTTGAGAAAACAAGATTTAGTTTATTGAATAACGAGAACCTACGGTTTCTTTAAATTTCGTAAGAACAAATATCGCAAACTCGATGTTTTTCAAAGATAAAATAAATATTTCAGTTAATTTAGATCAATTCCTCGACTATATTTTTAAACTAAATCATTGATCTATTTGTTTTCTAATGAAAAAGAATTATCAAGAAACAAAATTTTAACCATCACTTTTTTATTTATTGAACTTGAAATCTAATAAATTTCTATCATAACGTAAAACAAAGAAAAAAACAATCACATTTGAATAATTATAAGATAAGTCTACGAATTTCTCGAATTATTTTATCAACATCAATATCATAAAAATATGGACGTGTTAGTAAACTCGGAATGATTCGCATTTGACTAACTAACGGTTAAAGAAAACCCGCTTCAATACTGGCATATATATATCACGAATAGATAAAAATAATTCTTTAGATAATCATTTAATGATGGATAACGTGAAAGTGAAAGATGAGTTTCAGTCATATACGTTGGTAGATAATTGAAATCTTGTTGAATAAATAAATGAATTTGTTTTTCAGCTATTTCAGTACCAATAAAAAATAAGATTACAACAATGGATTCGTCAATGATATAAACATTTAAAATTAAAATTTTTGTAACTATTTCGGATATTGATGACGTCTGTGTATGTGCGTGTGGGTATATTCAGAGATGGGACCGGTTCGGTTTTTAACCGAACCGAACCGACCGACCGTAACCGAAATCGGTTCGATTTGAGATTTTTAAAAAATTCGGTCGGTTATGTTCGGTTCGGTTAGGGATTTTTTCGGTTACGATCGGTTCGGTTAGAAATTTTAAAAAATTCGGTCGGTTACGTTCGGTTCGGTTAGAAAGAATCGACATAATCTTTTGATTTGAGTTCGATGGACTTTTTGAGACATAAGAAGAAAAAAGAGTGTAATCGTACAACAATTAGCTGTTGTTCGTAACTCGTATTATCTTACATGTTTTTTAAATTTGTTGTGAGAGGTAAGAAAATTATAATACAGTAAGAGGATTCAATAAATAATCTTTCTTTGTCACTTTCTCTAGATGTTGATTGCTCATAGTTGCTACTGTTCGATTTGTTGTCGCTAATTTATAAAGCGCTAATACCCTAATTAACGTAAGCTAAACTTCGCTTTCTCTAAACACGGTCCGATTACGAAATTTTTGAAATACGGTCGGTTACGGTCGGTTCGGTTAGAAATTTTTAAATATTCGGTCGGTTACATTCGGTTCGGTTAGAGATTTTTTTGGTTACGGTCGGTTCGGTTAGAAATTTTAAAAAATTCGGTCGGTTACGTTCGGTTCGGTTAGAGATTTTTTCGGTTACGGTCGGTTCGGTTTGGCAAAAATGCCAACCGATCCCACCTCTGGAGTATATGAAGACGGAAGACAAAAGAGCGCATCAACTTTTTCTATGAATTCATCTACTCTACAATGAACGGCTGATTAAAATGTTAAAGTTGATCTATTCAATTGAATCGAAGCAGACACTTCAACGTTGAAACAAGAGTAGAGGAGAGTCGAACAATGGCAGTAACGATTATAAGTTGCATGTGACAAACATATACTAGTTTGATTAATGTTTGAGTTTGCTCAGTTTTCGGCTATAAACTAATAATTGATCGATAGTCATTTTTTTCAAAGTCAACAAGAAATATTGGACGTCTCATTGAGAATCCGTCGATCAATTCATTTGATGATAGCTGCTTGTACAGGTCGTGAAAAATTAATACTGTGAAGTATAGCAATCAATACAAAAGCATACTCATCTTGATTTAAAACCAGGCTTGCCAAATCTCCTGATTTTGGCAGGGGTCTCCTGATTTTCTTAATTTTCTCCTAATGAAAAATCTCCTGATTTCAGGAGCTGATTTATACGATTTTATCCTGATTTTATTTTTTTTAATTACTTGATGATTAGCAACACGTTGAATCAATGCAGGCTTCGAAGAGAAAAGAAGTTTTTCATTTTTTTATGGATATAATAATAATGTCCAATAAGATAATGCATTTCTTTTCGTTTTCTTCTCTAACATGAAATCTTAATTAAACAAAATTATTTGTGAAACACTTGTTTTCAATGTATTATTCATAGGTAGATGATATTACTTTTAATTATGGGATTTCTTAATTTGGATTTATCTTTATATATTTTGTATATCCAAATAGGTAGTGACGACATGAATATAGTAGAATATAGAAATAAACATTATGAAATGAATAACCTTGGTTTATTTATTTTATTTACAAGAGATTTTTTTCCTTCAATGACACAGTAAATTCAGTCGATTTACAAACAGGGGGGATGTGGACTAGCGAAAACTTGTATTTAATCAGATAAAACCCATCAAGAGACTCCTGATTTTGAAAAAAATTCTCCTGACGAACTCCTGATTTTCAAAGGCAAAACTACTGATTTTTGAAATTATGATTTGGCATCCCTGGAAAGAATAATGGCAAATCAATTAATTTGTTCATGATAATGAAGAAATTTTAATTTCTCTCACTTGCTTGGATCATACTGCTTGACAATGTTTTGTCAATTCCATATTGAAAAATGAACATCATGTACATAAATAGTATATGTACGAATAACTTGATCTTGAGTTTGATCTTCTTGAATAATTGAATGATCAACAGTAACTGATGATGAATCAAATACTAGAATATGTATATTTGAACCATTTAATGGAAGTTATGCAGTAGGTAAAACAGAAGTCCAATAATATGAACGAATAAAATCACCTAATTCTTTATAATGAATAGCATACATCGGTAGTATAGATCTATTTTAGATGTTAATTTATTTATAAAGAAAAACTTTCAGTTTTTTATATTTTTCTTTTTCTTATGTTATTTAAATGTTCTTTTTCTTGATCATTTGAGGATAAAATGTTGCCAAGATTGCCCATATTAAAGATAATATTGTTATAACCATCATCACAAGATTGATTCTGTCGGATCAGCTCCACGAATTCTTTTCTCTTAGATTTATCTAGGTATAATAGCAAAAAAAACTTATATATGCAATTCCTTAGAGAGTATAACAAAACTTACCATCAGAAATATTTAAGATATAAACTGTTTCTTCAATCGGTACATTATCCACCAGACGTAGATAGATTCGATCAGAATATTTTGACAATCTAGATCACACATAAACAAATAAGTTTATCAAGGTTGAAAAAATCAATAGAAAATCCTTACGCATGTTTTAAGGTTTTTTTGTTCAATATGAATAATCCTACAGCAAGTTCATCAATATCTTTTAGATCAGATCATAAAACATAGGGTACGAAATGATAAAAGTAAAATTCATATCGTATTGTAACTGCTATAGGACCTTTACTGGAATCGTTCGTATAAACTTTAATAAATGACATGTTTTGTTGACGATAAAAGACGAAAATGAACGTATACAAATGAAAATGTTTATTTAAAATGAATAATTCATTACAAATATGTTTGTTAGAATGGAGAAGAATTGTTTTGTTTTTTCTGTAAACAAAAACAGAATAACATCTCATTAGTTTTATTCGAGTAGATTGTGATGACGAGTTTTGTTATATTTCCTTGAAAATAACAAGCAAAAATCAGACATAACAATTAAAAAAAATAAGATAAATAATATGGTATTATTTTAGAGATTAAAATGAGTTCAACGAATCATTCAACTGATGAACAAATACGTTTTCTTATTTTAAATGAAGCCGAAGATAAAAGTGAAAAACTATATCGATTAAAAAAAAGTTTTTATTTAGTTTTGAAATAGAAAGACAAGAATATAATTAAAATAATTCTAATTAAAAGGTTGAACACTTCAAATAAAATTATTTTCTAATTTATCATGGAGAAAAGTTCGAATATTTACAAATGCTTCTATTAATGAAGATGATAAATTTGAATGAAATATTTATCGTGAATTAAAATGGATATATCCATCATCTGGAAAATATGATGATTCCGATCGTTATGTTTCTTTATTGTGTTCAAAATCAGGATCATTTTATTAATTTTTTACTATTGATCGAACAACGTTTATTTTGAAATTTTTTATATTTAAATTAAATAAATATTTATTTTTTTTTATTTAGATCGATAGAAAATCGAAATGGTCAAGGTTATTTTCATGTTGAACCATATTTGGTTTGGCCAGATGGAAATGGTCAAGTATTAGAACAAGAATATATAACATGTCAATCAGTTTTATCCAAATCATTAGGTCCTTTATCAGAATGGTTATCGCGTATTGAAGTTAGATATCATTCTGGTTATAATATGATACATTGTACACCAATTCAATCTCTTTCTAATATATCAAATTCATCATATATCAATAAATAATCATCATAAATTAAATGAAAATTTTCAAGGAACATTTGAAGAATTAAAAATTATAATTGATCAAATGGCTAAACAATGGAAAATATTTTCAATAACTGATCTTGTTTATAATCATGTTGCAAATGATTGTCAATTACTTAAAGAACATCCTGAATGTGCTTATAATTTAATAAATTCTCCACATTTAAAACCAGCTGTACTTCTTGATTCAATATTAATACAATTTACTTGTGATCAGGAATGCCAAATCATAATTTCAAAAATCAGTAGTTTTTCCTTTGAAAATCAGAAGTTCGTCAGGAGAACTTTTTTCAAAATCAGGAGTAAAATCAGAAGATTTCCCTTTGAAAATCAGGAGTCTCTTGATGGGTTTTATCTGATTAAATACAAGTTTTCGCTAGTCCACACAGTCCTGTTTGGAAGTCGGCTGAATTTACTGTGTCATTGAAGGAAAAAAAATCTCTTGTAAATAAAATAAATAAACCAAGGTTATTCATTTCATAATGTTTATTTCTATATTCTACTATATTCATGTCGTCACTACCTATTTGGATATACAAAATATATAAAGATAAATCCAAATTAAGAAATCCCATAATTAAAAGTAATATCATCTACCTATGAATAATACATTGAAAACAAGTGTTCCACAAATAATTTTGTTTAATTAAGATTTCATGTTAGAAAAGAAAAGGAAAAGAAATGCATTATCTTATTGGACATTATTATTATAACCATAAAAAAATGAAAAACTTCTTTTCTCTTCGAAGCCTACATTGATTCAACGTGTTGCTAATCATCAAGTAATTAAAAAAAATAAAATCAGGATAAAATCGTACAAATCAGTTCCTGAAATCAGGAGATTTTTAATTAGGAGAAAATTAAGAAAATCAGGAGACCCCTGCCAAAATCAGAAGATTTGGCAAGCTTGTTTAGGATTAAGTGTTGTATAATAATTTGTTCTCATCGATTATTGATTCAATGATGAGCTTGTATTTTCTTCATCATCATCAGATTCGGATTCTGTTCGTGTGTAACTTTGACTTTCAATACTTCTTTGTTCATATGAAGATTCTTGCATATCATCATATTCTTCTGACTCGAACGAAGTTGAATCATCATTATCATTACAAACTTTTATATTTTTACAATGAATATAGTAACGATTAAACTCGTGCAAAGGTACAGGTCCATTGGATGTAACTACTGCTACGTCTTCATGAATAATACTATATCCTTGTTTCGGTGGTTGATACCAATCAAAAGGTACATGACAATAATGAGATTGATCTCGTTTAATATTCCGACATTGACTATACATATGTGAATAATATTTATTAGACATTGCTCTTGTTGTATATCCATTGGCCATATTCGATGAATATAAGATCTGAGCAGTCGGAACTGACACAGACTTTGGATGAATATTATATAAAGGTAACATTGAAATCAATATGATGTTAATGACGAGTCTTGTTTGTCTATTGAAATTGTGGAACAAAATGTGAACAAACGTAAAAAAAGAAATGAAGGCGATCGAATAACTCATCCGTAACATGACATTCATCGGTTGCTTTTTTTTTATTATATATAGTCAATGGAAATAATTGGAAGTAAATGACAATTATTTAACGACTAATTTTTACATGTTCATTATAAAAAATATTTCGTGTTCTTTTTTTTTTGTTAAATCATTAAGTTCAAAATGCATATGGAATAATACAAAAAAATAGAATTTATATAGAACTGTTAGAGTTAGATTCATTACTGAACAAGGAGAACACTGTTGAAGATAATGTTATTCACGTTATAGTTTGCTTGTACGTAGAAAAGCTTAAAACTACAATCCTTTCTAATTTTTCACTTAAAAACTTTGTTAATATTTATTAAGACTTCAAATAGTCTAGTTTATATATAAAAATTGTGAAAAATTTTAGACGAACTGGCCTAGTTGAAATCTTGCTAGATGCAAATTTTCAGTATAATCTCTATACTTCAGTCAAATTGCAACATTGATTCAGATCCTCGTAGGCTTTAGCTAATCCACAGCTCTCTTACTTATAATCAGAGCATCAGACCAAAAGCGACGAATCACCTAGAAAATTAAATAATGAAAATATATATCTTGCAATCAATCAAGTTATGTTAATAGAATATTAAGACAGACCACATATGAAAGCAGATCTATTAATAGCAGATTTTCCTTTTAACTCGACTCATCTCAAGTATAGAAACGTCACTTGTGATGACATAAATTGTTTTAAAAAATGGCTATTGGATTACCTAAAAAGGGAAATGAAGACCGATAAATATGAAATTTTATATCACAATCGACTGGGAAAAAAACGAGCAAGAAAAAAAACCACATACATACATGTACATGTTTTAATGCACAAGACTACAGATTGTAAAGAACCACAAAAGTAATTATGGCAATGAAAGCAGTAATAAATTGAACAAATAGAATGCATAGTCAACGTACACACATAAAATAATTCAGGATGATGATTACAGTCACCCAGACGACTAAACACAATACTGTATACTATCGTTACATATAGTCTGCAAATGTAAACTGATCTTTGGTAAGCACAGTATCAGGACGATTGTATTTTATCGTACCATAAACAGTAATATCCGATCGTGTTTATTTAACCTGGAGAGAAATTCGATTCATGAACCCATAACTCGTATATCAGTTACGGGTCTAATCAAAACAGATCGAACCGGCAAAATCTCTAATATGAACATATTTTATTACCAGCTACAACGTGGTTACAAAAGGTAAAAAAATAGTCAAAAACAAGGCCATATCATTGATCGTATAAAACTGAAAAATGAGCAAAACTTGGTAAAAAATAAAGTTTTATAAACAATTGTTTTAAACAACAACGTAAAAAGAATTGAATCTTTAAAACAAAAAAAATCAAATTTGTTTATTTTAAATGTCGTTTAAGCCAATCACCACTTGGAATAACTTTCCAATTTTCATCTAATGATGTTGATTTCGATATATAAATATAAGCAAGTTTAGTTTCATTTTCAACAAGTACTTCAACTTCTTTACGTTCATATGCATCACCTTCAATTATATCTGCTTGATTAATTTTCTCTTTGAATTGTTCTTTCGATGGCCAACTTAGAAGACGAACAATAATTGAATCACTTGGATCACCTATTATTATTATCATCACCAAATAAATAAAAAGTTAATTTTTTATATTTTATTTGACAACACCTGTATGAATTGCAAATGGATATGTGATTATAGGATGACCGAGAAGTCGATAACCAACAACTCTACCCGTAGTGGCAGGATTTATATCCTTTAGTAATACAATAATATTATTCATTTTTAAAAGAAAATATTTAAAAAAAAAACAGGCAAGATACTTTAATGAAATTTTTCGTCCATGGTGCACCTGAATTATCATCATCTCTCAAAGTACCATACGTAGCTAAAAATTGAATATCAATATTTTTTTTAATATGAGTTGACATACGATATGAATTAGTAAAAGAATATAAATTTATTACCAATTTTCTAAACATAAATAAACAAATAATATAAAAGTAGTTACAAAATGATCAGAGCTTTTTTTTTATTGAATTCATGATGTAAGCTAATAGTCATAATTAAAAAAAATTGGTATTTTGCGGACTGAAGAGTACATTTGGATTTGAATCTATTTTTTGTTTGTCATGGTTATGTGCCTGTCATCACGTACAGAGCCGAAAAAAAAATTTCTCTTTTTACTTTACTTGTAATATCTTTAGTATCAAAAATATAAATAAATAAATAAACCTAGTTACTATAGTAATCACATATTAAATGTCTGCTATTAATGTTATACTACTGAAAAAATGATAAGCACACGTTCGATCATTTCATTGGTAGATGTTTAATCATTTGTCAAATAACTGTGCAACTAGTCTTTTATCAACATGCATATTGGAATTTATTATTGCATCTTAAGCGATAATGATTATTCGATTTGAATAAGAATATATGAATAAGATACATAATATCTTTCATAATTTCATTATTATTGATCTTTTATATGCAAAAATATTATATACGAATAAAGAATAATCAACAGATACCACTAAACTGATTATACTATATTGACAAAGAAATCATTAATAAATAAACTTTTGATACGCAATCAGATAATATACAATAAATATTTAGATTTCATCACACATGACGCTCATGAATAATAATTCAAAGACTGAACTTCGTTGGAGCAATATTCACTAAATTTGCTACCTGTTGATATCCGTACGATAATTACTGATGAACATCAAAACAAAAAGAATTACATTCGTATAGTGTGAAATTATAATCAAATATTCTTTTTTCTTATTGAAGATTTTCTAATTATTCGTATGATTTATAATTGAATGAAAGATAACTAACATTTGTTCATATTATTCATAGCTTGAAGCACAACAAACTTTCCACTTTAATAGTAACTGGAAACATTAAATGGCATCACAAGCTGATAATCTTACCAGTCGATGCAGATCCTGCAATAGTACTTACATCGATTAAAAGAAAAAGTTGTTTAGATTCACAATAATTCAACAATATACTTAGGATTTGTGCTAGTGAAAAAATCAACCAACAAATCAGAGAAGGAGCATAGGGCAGAACCACTTCGCTTGACGCCTCCTTCTCATGATTACTTATACTCTTCAAGCAAATGAAAATGTCCTCGTCAGTTCTTATTCTCTAGATTTCGTCGTTTATATTTTCTCTTACTTATTCATTCTATGCCTGATTTTCTGTCGTTTATGCCACCATTATTAGATTGATTTCGAGTATGTGAACGAATAATGATATTATCATAGACATTTCAATAAATCAAATGTTTCTTGTATGAAAAATGTTTATAATGATTTATTTCGGTTTTTAAAATTTATTATTCTATACAACAATTTGTTACTATATCATACTTACAGAAATTAATCAAAAAAACAATTGAAACGAATTAAAATTATATATCAATATAAAATTATCAAATCTAATAGATGCGTGTGAGTGCATATAAATTCATATTCATATCTACATCCTCACTATTTCTAGGGTCTAATTCATTCGGATCATAGCTCAGTCGCATTTTTCAGACAGCATTCTGGTTCATATAGACATGGTGCGAAAACCAAATCTGTTGCCAATGTTTCATGCATCAAAAAATGCTTACAAGTATCTTAAATATTCGTCACCGAATAGTGTATACACCAGTACTTTCGAGCATTTTTATGAATGCTCTGTTGTTTTCGATATTAGATTTTCTCAACGCTTGTTTCAGTTTAACCTTATTTTTTTATCTCACTCCAAATTGCTCAGGTCCTATGGAGGATATGATTCGCTGGATCGGTTTTCTCTCTTATTCCATCTACTCTTCTTTTTACGTCGTTCGTAGTCGTCAATCGCACACTGCAAAAAATAAAACCCGCATGTATAAAGTACCACGTGAATATCTTGATTATATTTAATGAATAATTAACGAAAATTAAAGGGAAAAAATCATAAATATCGGCTTATTATGACAATTTAAACAGAATAAATCTTAAAACACAAACTCAAATGCATGTTTGCTGATTGTTCATATTTAGTAACAAAGAGGTCGATCACTGTGGGTACGTTTACAACCAGATCGACATCGTCTAATTTTTCTCCCAATGATTGTTTCCTAGACATTGAACGATCCATGTTCCACCAGAAAACCAGCATTGATAATCACCATAACTAACACATCGTTGAGTTTTTGTCCAACAAGCACAAGAACGTCGAGATCGTTCGTGTTTCTCAATTGTTTCTCCTTCAATATCATCCACAAATGGATAAGTGAATCGAAAGAGAATCTAAATATACATAACTCACCATGAACAGCAGATCATAAGGAGTAGTTTCGTTCGAAAATTGGATTTCTGTTTTCAACAATTGATTTTCCGTATTACTACTCACAGTTATTAGAGATCCACGAACAAAAACAACAATAACGAATAATGATACAAACACTTATAATGCATTCATTACTTAGCTCTTTTTACAGATTTTAAAGTAAGAAAATATATATATTTGCATATAATCAAGAAATTGAAACAACATTTCAATTGAATTTCAAAAATATTTAGAATGTTGAATGAAATGATGGAAGACCATTTAGTATGGTGTCCTAAAGTGATCACTTATCTATATCTTACCTTAGTTGAAACAATACAGTTACGATTGGATAACTACAATGTTAGTAGTAATGTTTTCTTCTGGCTTTCCTTCGTCTGTTATATAGTGCTCTCTAGTAGGATGGTTCATTTCCTGCAACTAATATCAATATTATAGTGAGAAGTTTCCCAAACAGAGGAAGATGACATCTTCTCCCATGACATATATTACACTGTATAACCTGTTTTTGGTACAGAAGTATTATCTTATAAATATAATTTATGTGCGACATTCTGTACGATTAAGGGTTGTTTTCTGCTAGTGTTTCCCATATTCTAGACGGGACTTGGTACTAGGCCTAGGACAGTTCCATATCAGTTCGCTCTTGAGAATTGTTCAAACAGTTCTTTGATAGGAACTGGGGTGTAGGTATGGGTGTGGGGTGTGGATGTACACTCCCATAAATCCACACACGCACACCCTAGTTCAATCTCAACCTGATGAATTTTAGATGCGTCGTTACATGCCAAAGTCATTTTTAATCTAGCGTGACGGCAATTCCAAGATTGACTATACATATAGTGGACAGAAAAGTGTCTTAAGAAATGTTATGGAAAAACCAATCAGTTTTATACCCAATAAGTGCAGACTGTTAGCTGTATTATGATCAATTTTTCAAGTGCAAATGAAAAAAGAACGAATGGGTAATATGGCATTTTCTTCTAGAAGATGGTAGTAGAAATCGGATTATTTAACCTTGTGTTCCTAATATCTCGAAACTCTGCCGAGATAAATTTGCGCTTTTTCTGTGTGGTAATGAGAACTACCTAGAGAATCGTACTGTAAAAAATCACGAAGATTTGAACAACAGGAACTTGAGATTTTAAACTTTTACATATAAAAATACCATGGTACAATAATTTTGCAATTCGCCCATGTATATATATAGATAGATATTCTTACTTGATTTAACCCAACCCAATCCGAAATTAAACCATATATTATGTATATATATATAAATGTGTGCCACGATTCGATAAAAATTTAAATAACAGACATCTTTTATATTCACATTTTTTTATGAAGTAGTACGAGAACAGTTATATGTATAATAATACAAAATGTGCCTCTATATATGACAATTAGCACTGGACACTGTCACATTAATACTGTTCCTTGCAATTATTCTGCACGTTAGGTGTAGCCAATTTTGAATTTCCTGGAAAGCGGAATTTACCATGCCCTCACTCTTTCGAGTACGTTGAAGAGCGGAGTTTTGTTTCTTCTTCTTAGAATTCTCCATAGTTGTTAACATGGCTCCATCATGTTCAATATTTTAGTCCAATTAGACTTGTACGAAAAAAAGAAATGTTTATCAGACTTAGAAATTTTGAATCAATTGTGGATGTACTCTGTGTCTCGCAATAGGTCCAATCTCTTTTCTCCCTGCGAGAGATATGATATAAATACGACGAAATTAATATATATAAGTAGTGACCTACAATGATTCCATTTTGTTGCAATAATATAACTTGATAACATATATATTAGACGTATTTTAATGAATATTCATTTAAAAGAGATAGTCGTTGACATCAATCAAACTAGTTTGATTTGCAAAGACACACCTCTAGAATTTTCATTTTTTTGAAATAAGCATGCAAAAACTCGACAAGAAAACTATACCGATTAGTAAGGAATTCTTCGTTGTACCAGACCAGTCGTTTACTATTACCGGTTCTACGTATTCTGTATGTCGGAAAAGGTGAACTGAATAAATAGATGAAAATAATCGTCTTTGGTAAATTGATTTAACATTAATGATTCGAATTTGCATAGACTTACTAAACGGATGCAAGAAGAGATTAAAGCATCAACTAGGAAAAATCAATAGTAAATTTAATCCAGTGTGGTGAAGCCAGACAATTATACAGAATATTGCTTGCTCAAAGTATGAATGATAATGAGAGAAGAAATATCTTTTATCAGCTTAGATTGATCAATCTTTACCATAGAGATGATGCAGATACACTTACATCTTTTTAAAAATCGTTGAAAATCTATCAAAAAAAAAATCTCTCATTACAATATGCTGATGTGGTTAAATGCTAGAACAACACTACCATAGTTTATGATAACATGAGTGATTATTCAAGGCCGCTTGAGTTTTATGAACGTTCTCTTGATATTAAACAATGTTCACCATGTCTTGACTACCTTAACCTTCAAGATGTAAGAAAGAGTATTGAAACTGCAAACAAGAAATTATCATTTTTTTTTTATAATGAGAGATATGCGTGGTCACACACAGAAAAACTCTCTCTTATTA